TCGAAGACTTTTATATACTATGACTAAAATAATCCCTTTGGCCTGCCATGTCACCTTATTTTTCCTGGTATCACAATTAAGGTTTTTAGAAAAGAATGTTGATAGATTGGTTTGCTTCTTTGGTAACAATGTACAGAAACAAATCAATTCCATATTCTTCTATCAATCAAACAATTTTTGTTTGCTGTAATATTGGAAAATAATTGTAAAATTTTTCCAAAATGTTTTTGAAGGAGTTTGATTTTCTTGCAACCAAAGAATCCTGCTCAACCCAAGAAACACATGTTCCAGCCTTACTGCTGTATTGGTTGCATTTTAATTTATGTTACTGTACTATTGTTCTTAATAGTCTTGGTAGACATTCCTCTTAGCAGTCACTCTAAATACTAATCTAATAATACTGTTATTGAAATTGATAAATTCATATACCTTCGATAAAAGCCAGTTTTTGAAGGTGTTGAGGGTGATCTCAGCTATTGATTTTCTTTGTAGATAATAAACATGCTTGGATTCTTTGACAATTGCAAGAACCAATGAATACAAATCTACATCTTTGAGGCAAAATATTTTCTGCAGTGTTTCTTGTATGTCTTTATCACTCCCCTTATCATAATATCTTTCCAGATCTTCAAGACATTGGTGCAGAGTGTCCTGCAGTGACTTGGCCATATCTCAAAAAAGTGGCAAGATGACAAGCATTCCAAAATCTAAATGACTTTAAAAAAAGAATTCATTTGTAATATGCTCTTGCCAGTATGGAAATGAGTGTTAATTTTAGATACAGAAAACTCCTGATAAATCAATCTCCAAAGGATCAAATTAAATGGTTTGAGAAATGGTGAGATGTTTTTGATGAAGAGCGATACACCCTTTTTATATAGGAACCAGAAATTAGAGCTCAGGCTGGCTGTTTTTCAAAAATCTGAAGCTGGATTTTTTATAATTTGTTCTTAAACCATTAGGGTATAAGGAGTGCAATTGCTAGCTGTAGTGCTATAGGAAGGTGTTAAGGCCTCAATTGCCAACAAAATTAGTGAGACATTTTTGTTTGTCAGTAAGTTTGAAAATTCACCAAAAAGCACCCATAGATGACAAAAAATCCTTGTTCTTAAATGAAGCATGTTCAAAATTACTCTTTATAGTAGCTCAGTCTTAGCTTGTTCTTAATTTGTGCTTTTGACTGGTAGAGGTTGCTATGTTGCATTGGTTGCACAAAAATAACTGATTTCTATGATGTATAGCATCAATATACCCTAGTCTGAAAAGTATGGAAGGGCCACACACAAGGTCAGTGTAGTTCAAGTTTTAGAGGTGAAAGAATTCTAAATTTTGGGGGTTATGACAGCTATGAAAAGGCTTAGCTTGTACGGCCCACTTCTCCATAAAAAAATAAAGATAGTTATATTCAAAACAAAACAATATCCTTACAGAAATACTCTTCCGTAAAGCACGCAGTTCAAGTCGTCAATGAACCACTCAAAGCCTCAAACGAACCCACGAGAAAAACAACGCCATGTTTTTGTCATTTTTCAAACTCGTACTGAAAACGAGATTACGCACATTTCATTTTGAAAATTTAGTTTAGGCCAGCCAGTTGCTTTGGCTTTTGAAAGTTTGCTACATTTTCAAACTTAGCTTTATAGTTTTAAGCATGGACAATGACGACGGGTATGGCTATGCTGATATGGAAGATGTGGAGGAAAACGTAGAGGGAGATTTAGATGATGACGAGCCCTACGATGATGCAGGAGATGCACAGGACGAGGCCGAAGATATCGAGGTTTTGCCAGCAACAGAAGATACGCAGCAACGCCAAAAGAAAAGAACCACAACTCCATATCTAACAAAATACGAAAGAGCCCGTATTTTAGGTACCAGGGCTTTGCAAATTAGTATGAATTCGCCAGTAATGGTTGAACTAGATGGCGAGACAGACCCTTTGCAGATAGCAACAAAGGAGTTAAAAGCAAGAAAGCTACCAATATTAATCCGAAGATATCTACCCGATGGAAGTTATGAAGACTGGGCCATTGACGAGTTAATCATCGAGTGATGTGCTAAATTTGTCACTGAGGGAAAACTGTATAGCTGTAACAGGATTTTCAGGCAATCTGAACTTGTTGGCGGTTTAACACATGAACAGGAGGATACATCTGGATCAAATCTTAAATTACCCTCTAATATGAACAGGTCCTAAAAAAGCTAATTACAAAAACATTCTAGTTTTAATAAGTGTTACTCTAGAACTTTCTGGTCTTGAATACACTGTTGCTTAGAATACACTTCAAACTTCATTATGAAAGTAAGGTGTTACTACACATACATGTATATACAAAGCAATATAATCATCTAACTGTTGTTACAATTGTTTCTGTAAAGATTTCCAACATACATGTACCTTTTAAAAGAAAATTTGCCTGGATCCTAATCCACAAAAAGTGGAAGTCACTTACAGTAGAATCCCGTTATAACATACTCGGTTATTACGTACTTTCGGATATAACATACTGGTGTGCTTGATCTCGAAAAAAGGTGTGCTTGGTTTTAATCAATTTTAACTTACCCTCTTTACAACATACTTCAGATATAACGTTCTTAATACGCTGGTCCCTTAAAGTACGTTATAACTGGATTATACTGTATATTCCAAATAACTTCTTCACATTGCAGGGTTGTCAGAGCTAGAGGACTGGGGCTGGAGCCCCCCCCCCAAAAAAATTGTCAAATTGTAATATATTTGTGTGAATAAAGGAAAGGCCTCAATAGCAGGCTGTGTGCCAGACTCTAATGAATTCTTGCATCAAAAAATCAATTACAACAAGGTAAATAAGGAACACAGCAATGTGTCAAGAATAAACAACAACAAACACATAAATGAGAAGGAATATAATGGCCAACATCCTTTCCTCCATTATGAGTTTTGTTCTGACAGCACTGCATTATACTATTTTCCATGTCAAAGAAAATTTTGTTTTGCACACTTATTAGTTGTTACAAACATAGCAAGATCTTAGAAAGAACAAATTCTGCTCAAATCAATTGCTGATCGCAGATATATTTAAATAGTTTTGATTTGTAAAGCTTATCATTTTGCAAGACTCTTTAAAACGCTACCATTAGAAAATGCTTTATTTAGTTACAAGTATACAGGGTTAAATATTTTACATCCTATTTACCAAATAAACTTAAATGTCTTTGTATATTAAAGAATACTTTGGTATATCTCCAAGGTCAATTGGGCATGGAACTATTAGCTTTCCCCTCAGGGCCCCCCTTAGTATCACTTCTACTAGATCTATGAAGTCTTGTTTTTTCTTGAAAGCACCAATAAACTTTGTGTGGTCTTGAGTCCTAAATTGAAAAAAATAAATGAGAGACATTTACCTACAAAGTCCAACTGATGATAGCAAATTGAATTAGATTTTGTCTTAAGCAGTAGAAATATACAAATAACCAAATAAATCAACATTTAAAAAAGTCAACCATTATAAGATCATTATAGCTTATGAAATATAAATAAGCCTAACACCATGAAGATAAAAAGGCCTCAACATGATCACAGACCAACATAAGTATGGAAAAAACAAAATAATATCACATCTCCTTGAAAATAAACAGGTAATGAATTGTCTTTACAGATCATTGAAATATTTTGGCATGGCATTTCATTCCTGCTTGTCAAGAGTGCCTGTGTTGCAAGGAATGTCTAGAAGCAACACCCAATACCATCCCCATGATCACCAGGGCCTATTCATTTGAAGTGGTTGCCTCAGCACTCAAGTAAACCCAACCATGCAAGCATTTGATCGCTTGTGCAAAGCAGTAATTTTGAGGAATAAATGACACATCAATTAACACATTTCTAGTCATCTTTTGTGACCCAAGCAAGTGACATGGACAATACAAAGCTGATATATCAAACACAGGAAATATAAGTAAGCTGACTTAACCACAACTCAACCAAAAGATGCATTTGAAAATCAATTACATCCCAAATGTTTAGGAATACCATTAACACTGAGTATTTAAACTACAATAGCACCTTTCTAGGTAGTTAAAGTGCTTTCAAAAAAGAACAACATTTTGTGATCATCAGGCAAAAAGGTCTATAAGACATTGGTGATGTGTATATAGTTTATAAATTAATTACATTTTTATCAGGAATCTAATCTTCCTCGGAGTGTATCAAAGGTCATTGTAACAGTTCGTTTTCATTTGATATTACCTTCAATCTTGGCAAAAAATAGCTGAGACTTTTTTTCAAAAAGTGAAGTCACATGTCTTTTTATTATATAACATGCTCTGGTAGCCCACACCTCCTTCACCCCTGATGTCAATGTTGGGTTTTATGATTGCGGTATAACTGGGCATGACCGCGAGCAGAATTACTCTCATCACAACATTGAATTGGGGGGACGGGGGGCTGGATGATTTGAAACTAGCTCAATTTTCTGCGAGTGTCTCAGCATTTTTTGCCAAGGGTGTTGAACAAAAGGATCATACGGTTTTTATAAACATTACAGGCTCTTTTAGCATTGTTCAATATTATCATTTTTAGAGCGATCGCTAGTGCAAGAACAAACATGAGCTCTGGGCCACTCAAGTGGGCTATGGGTCACACCCTGTGTTCTTGCATTTCTCTGATTTGTTTTGAAAACACTTATCAGTTTTGTATATGAAAACACTCAAACTATTCTCCAACTTTATAAAGCTAATAGAAGTTGCTCGGTGAAATCATTGCTGATCTTACTTCCAAAATATTTTTGTCACCTTAGACTCCTTAAACAGTATAGTAAGTTTCCAAGTATTGTTCATAAAATCTCAAAATGACTTATCAAGCAACAATGACCCGACCAAACAACAAAACATCTTCAGTCTTTCAGGAGGTGCCATTAGACAAGACTTGAAGTTTTTGACTCAGATAAACTATCTTAGAGATATAATATTTGCCTCACCCATAGTCAACCTTGATGTGCTGGCCATTGTAAAAGAATATAGTTGCTGGAATAAGTGTTATGTCAAAGTATTGCACATAAATAGGGATGCTGTCAGCATCAACAGTGTAAATATCAGCCATTCGTGCCAGATCTGGAGCTGCCTTTGAGAGCTAAAATGTCAAGGAAAAGAGCACACTCAAGCCTAGATAATATCAAAGAATGAACAATTCCAAAAACATTACACAACTGGATATCATCTTCAGCTTTTGAAAAGGATACCAGGATTCATAGAACCAATCAAACTCCTTACAGCACTGGGAGCCAAAATAAATATGGCTCATGTTCACAAGAAACCAAATACTGGATTTGCTGATTGCAAAGTAGGGTTCTGCTGATTGGTCTGTTCTTCATTATCACTTTTCTTGATAGTGAACTTTACTTAATAGTGAAATGAATAATAAACTTTACTAAACAAATGCAGTGATTACTACATGCAAGGACACTTTTCTAGCAACTGCATCACCCTGAATGCCAATTTTTGGCAAACGGGTCAATGAATTTGGATTAAAACTGACTAGGATTGCCAAACTGCAGTAGTAGGCAAAGCAATTAAATCCTTAACATGAACCCACACCTTGTTTTAAAAGACATTAGTGATACCCAAGCCTTTTTTCACCAACTTAGAAGCATTAATAAATATTAATTGTTTGTTCAAACTTGCTTATCTGTTAGCTCAGTTTTCTTAGCATGGCAATGCAATTGTCAACAATATTTTGCTTCAACCAGGTCAAGAAGTATATAACCATGTTGGAACATATTCTATTTTGGCTATGCATAGCTGTGAGTAACAGCATACTATCAGCTGTGACCTTCGAGCAGAGGAATGTGAGCTGCAAGCAACAACGGTTTTGTAAACATGGCTACAGTAATTATTTAACACTCGATTGAAATTTTGGGTCATGTGCAAGCGCAAGAAACCCATCGTAGCTGCAAGTATATGCAAGTTTGTAAGCCTAGGAATACACTCTTGTTACATGCAGTAAGTAAACTTGTAAGACTGTGTTTAAGTTAGCAAGTTCTGGACACTCTTGAACCTGAACTTAGTTAAAAACATTCTATTTTCGAAATTAAACAGCAAGCAGGGCAAATGGCTCGGTTTCAAAAGGTGTGTCTATATGTTATAAGCACTTTTTTTCTTGTTTCAAACACTCTACCACACAAGAGTGGTCCTTAAATTCAAAAAATCGCATATAGTTTATCCTTAGTGCTTAGCATGAACAGGGTTGACAATATAACATCATCATAAAATTCTCATCTTTATGGCGATGATTTATTTGAGCGGTGCTGTTAATATAACAACCTATAATTGCGAACTAAAATCAAATAAAATGTTTTCGATTTTTTAAACAGGCCTAACCACGTCATCCAGCTGCAGGCAAACGGCATCGTTCTCTCTGCCAAATCGCAAAACCAAAACTTTGTCGACGGTGGTCTTGATGGCAATATCTATATCTTTCTTTGCCTTAAGACTGTTTAGCAAAAAACTCATGGCCTGGCCCACCGAATGCAGAGCAATGGCAACAGTCGCAACAACAGCAACAACATATCTTCATTATACCCATTATAGCAACCTCATAAGAATGAGTTTAATGAAAAATAAATCCAAAATTATAGCTTACTTACCAAATCAAATGACGAAAACAACTTTGAGAAAATTGATCCAATTATTCGAAGAATATCAAGATACCCATCCTTTCATACTTTTGCCCCCTAATTATTACTTTATTTTCTTTTTTTTGTCATTATTTTGTATACTACATTCAAGTCTAAAAATTAATCTAAAAAAATCGAAACGCGCATGGGTACAAGGCTACAATCATTCACAAAATTGTGAGACTGGCTCAGTTGTTAGAGGCGCTGACTACAGACCCAAGGGTACGTCGTTCGAGTCCCTAGCATGACCAAACTTTCACCCAGAGTGAGGAGAGTCGCCAGCTCTCTGTAATTCCAGGCATAGGAATCACGAGGTGTGGTTACATCGAGAGGAAGGACCAGGACACTGCTCGATAAGCATTAGCTTCTCAGTATCCTAAAACTACCGCCGGATGCTAGGTAGAAACAAATACAAAAAATACAAAAGACTTGTTGATGTTTCGCCCCTTCCCCGACAAAGCAGTGTTGTTTGTACGATTTTCATAAGTTTGAAAAGAATCAACGTCTTTATAATGCGATAAAAAAGGTTTTAAAAGAAAATGTTGGAAAAATACATCAAGGATTGTAGGTAGCTAACTTTGAGTTTTTTCGTCTGTTCTTCAGGGTCCTTCAGTAGTTAATTTATTATCAAAATTTTGTCAATTTTTGTCAAACATTCCGTTAGGATTCCTATTTGCAGATTCAGAGCATCCCTTCCTTGCAAAAGGTTTCTTCTTAATTTTCTTCTTAATACAAAAGATTTCTTGATCGACACGAAGCGAGTAAAAAAGAGAGAGCACAGGATTATTCAAATCATTAGCAATACCATGGAAAATTCCTTATCTTTTCTTTGCGCGATATGCAAAAAAGAAATTTCATACGAATTATAAATTTGACGACTTACTGCATCACAAAACTCTTGTCAAGCAATTAATACAAAAAATAGAAATTACTTTTGCTTATAAATCTTTCTTCTATCATTTATCAATAAGCATAACAACGGAACAACCAAAATGCATGGCATGCTTACCCTTTGAAATTTATCAAAAAAGTTATCTTTTTAACCACACGCTAGGATACAAATACAATCGGAAATAAGGAAAGTGAATAACAGAACTGAACAAATGTACTATATTATCAAGAGCGTAGCTTAAATGTAATGTGTCCAGCTAAAGCAAGTGGCTCTGCGGGAGTTTTCAGGAACATGTGATTTTTCATATCATCGTCCCTGCCATTATGGTCGTTCTGTTTATTTACCCTGCTGCGAGGTCAGCTTTTCATGTGAGCAGTTTTGCATCGAAAGAATACTAACCAATCGCAAGCCGTTATTTTGATGAGTGGCTTGACAAGTTGGGTATACGCAGTCCTTTTATATGGACACATTACCTTCAAATAAAATTCTCTTCTAAAATTTACAAAAAACTGTTGTCTTCTTACGTTTCGTTGGGCAAAATCTCTTTAGTAAATTAAAAAGTTGATTGTTATATCTTGTCTCAGTCATCATATTCCAGAGATATGAATTAATTCTACTTTGGACAAAAAATTATCTTAGTTTCTTAAATTATCGATAGGCCCAATATCTCCGCAAAATCCATTGCCGAGACAAAGATGGACAGAGGAAGTGGGTCCTGGCAAAGTAACAAAGAATGTGGGAAAAGCTTTTTGTTTCATAGCACAAAAGCTAAGGCACAAACGAATTTTCTTCAAGACGCAAAGAGCGCGTTTTAAAATTTTGAGGGCACTTTTCAAACCCAAAATTTTCGTGCCAACAATATGACATAGGTAGGTAGCCCAAAACGAACAGTTTCTGCAGTGCATGGTTTATAAAGAAAAGAGTTGAGCTTATCAAGAAAAAACAATACTTTCAAGCAATATCAAGTGAAAACAACTTGAAACTGGAAAAGTCCAGAGCCTTGCAGTAATGTGTTTGTGAATAAATCATAGCCTTATATATAGTCTTCCCTATGACACAAAAGGTTTATATAAATTCCTACAGTGATACATGTAGGAATTTCTCCTTTATGAGAAATTCTTACTGAGAAATTCCTACAGTGAATTTCTCCTTTATGTTGAATCCCCCTTTTAAAGAGGTTAGTGTCGATTGTCAAAAAAATGATACAGGAAAATACAACAGGTGTTCAAATTCACTACAGAAAACACGTTTATTATAAGGCTTGCTAATGAATGATCAATGACTCTGCTTTAAATACAGAAAACTTCAGACTCAAAATTCAAAGCAAAGCTACTTGGATTTGAAACTAAAAGGGGCCCCTCCAACCAAAATTTGTCATTTATAATTAGCTAATTTCATGAAAATTATGAATTTTCAATTTGGTTTTAAATAATTTGTATAGTTTTGAGTCTCAATAACTTGAATTTTGACAATTCGATAATAAATTTCCGATTTCGTGACACTGTATTTTGGATTACTCAACTATGTACAAGAAGCAAGAAATTTGTATGTTGGCCATTTGAAGATCCTTGTTTCAGGTAGTAGAAGTAGCTGCAATCATGTCATATTTTCGAATTAAAATTAAAGTTAATTTAATTTAAGGCCCTTCAAGTGCATGAAAACTTTTGAGAAAGCACGGCGTTCAATGGAAACGATAGCCAAACATTGTCTTTAGCCTCACAACTTTAGAAACAATTTACAGGCATCATGGAGTGTTGAGAAAAGTAGGGGTCTAAAAAAGTGGTAGTCCTCAAATAGAGGCCCTGTCTTTTTTCCCCAAGGGTCTCAGGTGCCTCTGTTATGCCACTGGGTAGATAAAAAATCCAAAATCCAAGTATTTTGTACAATACTTTGACTGATTTCAATATTTTGACTCAAATCTTGGTTAACTTTTGCCCCTATCTGAGACTGCTTTTTGGTAAATATATATCTTTTGCAAAATAAACATTTGACAGTGGCGTAAAAATTGAGCTACTTCTTCCAAGTTTTCTTACTATCTAGCTACCTTTGCTAATCAATATCCATTCCTTGTGTTTTTGGTCCATCTTTCTTTGGAGCTTCTGACATCTCAGGTGGCTTCTGTATGTTTACTAAGAGCAAAAAGGGTTACAAATTTGATTAGTAAAAATTCAAATAAAAAACCAAACCAGAGTGAGAGACAAATGTTCCTATTGATGTCAGAACAAGCCCATTCTCATCAAAAACCCTTTTAAAAAAGAACAACTTTGCTATAAATATTACCAATCTAATTGGAACTTTACCTAATAAAATTCAAAGCCTGTTTGAAAAATATGGATAGATTACACATTATGAATAACAGAGAGCTATAAAATAAGTCCTATTATTAGCAAAACTTAACAAGCAATTCACATGCATTACACAAAACATACAAATCATTATACAAGCCAATTGAGCAAAGAAGCAATTACAGATGACATGGTATAGTCAAAAGTCTTCTTGTGGCTAAGTTGAAGATTTAGATCAAATTACAATACCTTTATAATAAGGATTCATTCATGGTCCATTGCAAGATTTCAAAAATAAACATAATTGGTTGATGGGTGCAAATAGAAAATTAAATTTATTTACCTTCCATTTCATTATCTCTAGCTTCATTTCTTCTCAGTTTTTTAAGTAACAGTCTCCTCTTTTTTGAAGACAATGTTATATTGGCTTTTGGGTTTGTCCTACAAAATATAAAAGTCAAATAAACTCTAGATTTTGGCAAACAGATATAAAAATCTTATAGGTTAGCATATTACAATTGGTAAGAAATAGGCAATAAACAATTAAATATGAACTGTTTTAACAATCATTTTGGAAAACCTTATTGAAAGAAAGAAAAAGCAAAATCTAAGAATAGTTTACATGAAAAAGACAATCCTATGCTGTTGTGGAAATATGAAGCTATACTTGAAATGAACAGAGCGGTAGTAGGACAAAATGTTTCCTCGGCATTCAAAACAGACATAACATTGAAGAGAAAAGACTTGACACACCTGTGTTAGAACTCAAATTATACTGTAAAAAATCATTTAAGATGCAAATATACAGATATATGATGCGATTTTGGAACATGAGTTTTCTTCCTATCTGTAAGTCATCATAAAAACTCAACATGAAAAAACACTCTTAAGTTTCATTTGTTATATTATTGCTTCCACTAAATTGTCAGTTTCTGTTCACATTCACAATGAAATTTTTTGCATGTTTCAACAGATTTACCAAACAAGAACAACCCCAACAGGTTGTTTGTATTAGCAGGAAGTTAACAGATAAAATTATACTTTTATAACAAACTATTCATTGAATGACTTGAGAAACTTACCTTCTCTTTTTCAGAATATCACTTGTTGTCAGTGGATCTATTATTTCGTTTACTTTTCCTTTAGACTTGCTTTGACTCTTTCTCTCTTTCTTTTTAACTCTGTGATGTTTTTGATGACTTTGGTATGAAGTCTGAATGGATAGATTATTAAATCTTAAGCAATCTTTGCTTAAAGTCAAGACAAAATAAAACTCAGCCCAGTGAGATATATGAAAAAAATTTATTGACTCCACCAAAACATGCAGGTTTTGAGAAGCCATTCTCTGCTTTTCTGTTGATAACATTTTCCAATAAAATACTACAAACATAGTTCAAATTTTATTGACAGATAATAACTCATTACAATGTTTTCAGCAAGAAACTGAAAAGAATTTTGTACTATTAGAACATGTTGAAAGCTACCAACACCTCGTGTCTCCATAACCCTTTCTTTAGCTTTCTAAATGCCTTTTATTTTCTTTCCTTTGATTACGGTTTATTTAATTTTTCGACCCTTGTGACATTCTAAAGTATGGGTGTCTTTATTGCCTGCTTTGGTGTTTTTTAATTTTTCATTGCAAGAAATCCAAAGCCCACCAGTCGGAATCAATTTCATCGGCCGTTATCCGTCGTCGGTATGATTCCGAATAATGTCATATCCAGAATAAGTGGAATCATCGTCAGTCACTCTATAGTATCATATAACTTATACCTGAACGCAGCAAAAATTTCAATTCATTTTAGAGAATTGTCAAGAATTTTCAAAGGCTTCAACCAAAGCATATAGCTAGTTCTTTAGACTTCGATGAAAAAGGAGGCCCTCAGACAAATAATGTTCCCCAACAAACAATTGTAGCTTTAGGGGAAATTCAATTTGGTACCATTAGTTTCGATCTTCATTCATTCCTATTAGTTTTAATTTGAAACCATACAGAAACAAGGAACACACCTTTTTCGGCCTGTTGACTCGTAGTCCTTTCGCCATCTTTGGAAGAAACGTGATAAACCACTGGTGCCAATTTTCGTTGTTGTAGTTGCTCCATGGGGTTGATCCATAGAAATTGGATTGATCTAATGAGATTCCAGAAACTACAAAAGTGACAATACTACAGGGTTGCCAGTTTGGCCTTTTTCAGGCCAAATTTCCTAATATTGGCCTTTTTAAAAGATGTTTGGCCATGAAAAATTGTTTGGCCTATCCTTTAATTTTGGCCTTTTTTGGCCTTTTCCAACAAACAATCCCTGTAATTTTATATAGCTATTGATGTTGTAAAAATTGAACAGCAAGCAGCTGAAAAACACGTTATCAGCATGCCAAATACATTGACCACAGACAACATATGCAAAGGTACAAAGTTCGAATTGCTGCACTAGTTCGCCTCCACAACCAATACAGAGAAATGATTTGAAAGATAGATGAAGTCAAATCAAGATGCCATTCAATGCAGCTACTAGAGGCAGCTCAACATGTTTACAATCGGCTTCCGGCTTCAAAAGATCACTTCAACGCTCTCAGCTGGCTTCACCCATCCCGGATTTTAAACCAATTTGAAAGAGTGCCCTTGGACCAGCTTCCAATGCTGCATTTGAAGAGAGTATGTCCACGATATTAGGAAATAGTCCTAATATAGAAGTGAAGAATCTGTTTTTGCAAATGGAATTCCGTCAGATGCTGTCAATTTTTGGGTAGGAATACTGGAATATCGCAACCTACTAGGAAATAGTCTATTTTGGGAGCTTGCAAATTATGTCCTTTAATGTCTGATAGACAACCCCAATCAGTAATGCAGTTGTTGAGAGAATTTTCTCCTATGTGACCAGCATTAAAACAAAGCATCGCAACAGAATGAGCACTGTTATGCTAGAAGCCATCATACGCATATGTATGTACACATTTAAGCTTCAAAAATAAATGTTGTAAAGGCTTTGTATCCAGTACCAAAATGCTGTCACTGTTTAACACAGATAATCTTTATCAAACTGTTAGAGCTAATGAAGTCGCTGACGATGAATTGAATTTGTCATATGTGTGAATACGTATTATTAGCAAACACTTAGGCAGAATGTTATATGCTTTATATTTCTTGCATTTATATTCGTTGTTATACCGGTAGTTAACGTTCGTAGTCTTTTATAACTGCGCATGTATGTTAAAACGTCACCGGGCAGACAGCTGATTTGGCCTCTTTTGACCTTGTTTGGCCATTTTTCGCATAGACATTGGCCTGTACTTACCCTGACCACTTGGCAACCCTGAATACTCACACACCATGCCTGTCTTGCAACTTTTCAAATTGACCCTTTTCTCTGATTTAAGGGCCTCAGACCATGCCCCCACTTCTTGCAAAACAAGAGAGCCTATATTCAAAACCTTTGTTATGGGTGTAAAATTTTACCTTGCCTCCCCCACTTTCAAAACTGTGTCGGACCCCATGATTGAAGATGCAGAAAACAACCCTGCTTTTCTCTGACAAATTGAAAGAAAGTTGCCCCTTTTAACACGATTTCTCTGATAAAGTCTTTCCGCTATAAGCGCTATATTTGTGCAAAGCGTGATGAAGATGGAATCGACACAGGAAAGAGAACAGAATGCCACAAGAAAGAAACAACATTTTTAAAAACATATTTTGACATCCAAAGGAACACAAGATTACTCAGGCCATAAAATTACGAAATCATAAGATTATCTTTTTGCAGCCTTTTTACCCAAAACCCTACCTTTTCCCTTAAATTTACCAGTACTTGTTCTTTTAATAGGAAACTTCTTAGCTTTTGTCTGTCGTTTATCTGATGACCTATCGTTACTTTTGAAAGGAAATTTCCTTTTTGAAGCAGTCTTTGCAGACGTTTCGCCATCCATCCTTCGCTTCTTGAACGGCTTCCTATCCGTCGAAAACTTTCTTTTGGTTCCCTTTTTCGCTGGCTTTGAAAACAAATCTGAAAAGAAAATAATTATAAAATTTCTACTTCGCAATGCACAAAAGTCACTAGCGGCACAGAAAGGGGCAATGAAAACCTCCGCCACACTCCCAAAAATACGGCGAGCATTGTTCTTAGAAAAGTCGATGTTTCTGTACTGGGTAAAGGTCTTATACTGTTAGCATTCAAGTTCTTAATATTCAAAAAATAAGAACGAACGAAAAGAAGGAAGGATGGAAGGAAGGCAAAAAGAAAGGCGAAAAAGAAAATGATGGGTAAAAGGACTAAAAGGGACAAAGGCTAAAAGGACAATAGAAACAAGAGAAGGAGTTAATACACTAAATTGTTAGAAATTTTCCCTTGGACTGGACATTCTGTAAAAGGGAATGGTACAATGAGACATGTATTTTCAAAACAACATGTAAATGCGGAAATAGCACATGGTATTAACTTAGTTCTCATCTAACAATCTTCCAGGTGCAAAAGAAGACAAGTGACTACTTAAAGGAATGGATTGTAACTGTTTTATGCATTATGTCGTATGTTCTGCATTAAGAAGACCGAGACAGTTTGAAAAAACGACAGCTTGAAAAAAGGAAGATTTCTTTAAAATTAGAACATTTGCTATGAATCTTAGTTTGCTATTAAAATTGAATGGCGAAGAATGGCACGAAAAATGGCACCATGGCAGCGTAACGAAAATATACCTACATGCCAAAGTAGCAAAAACGTCCATCTTAAAAACAAGCGGTGTAGGAGAATATGGTAAAACTATAGAGAGAAAATATATTCCTGAAGCCTCTTTGCAGAAAGGAAGACCTTTTCCATCACTGAATCTAGCGTTAATCAATCTATTCGAGAATAAACTCGGGTACCTTCATCTGGTTCCTCCCCAACCTCTTGTCTGAAATATTCCGTATCATCATCGCTTTCAGAATCGTCTTTTCCTTGAAAAGAGTCGCACCTCAACGTCAATCATAAAACAAAAAATATTTTAGAAAAAATTTAACATTCGAAAACACATATAACAAAACGATGAAATCATCTGCTCGCCAAAGGCAAAGGTTTAACTCCTTACAAATTAAGTCTATTAATTACTTCAGTTACATAATTCGTTAGTATCACTTATTTTTATCATTATTATTATTTGCAAATTAGTACCAAATGCTTCAAGTGCATTTGACAGACCAAAACTATAATATCATGAAACGTAGTTTTTTAGCTTATCTTATTTATAACTCAGAAACATCTCAAGGTTACCTCCACCCTCTGATTTCCTCTTCTTTTCCATTCCAGCAAGACTTTTTTCTCTAAAAAATTACGAAAATTTTTGTGGGAAAAGTCGAGAATCAACGGAAGTGACAGTTCCATACATTGACAACACAGTTCCATACAGAACAATGATAACGAAACTTTGCCATATTGAGCCTTGTTTTAATTCTTGTCGAAGAAGATGTAAAAAAGACATTGAATAGACGCGAAATTCTTTTTAGAATATTCAAGGTGTTCTGGTGAATTGGTTTAGAAAATGATACTTAGGAAAAAATAGGACAAAAATGCAAACAAATTATCTGAGAATATATTTCCGAGTTTTGAAAAAATAGCAATGCTATGTATGTGCTGCAATATATCAATCTTTCCATAATTAATAAAAGTGCCAAATTTTGACTAACAGCACATCAGCAAGAACAGCGTGTAATGAGGGTACCAACCGCCATAGTAGCAATTACAAAAGGGTTAAAGGATAGCATAAAAAGGATAGAAGAATGTTGTGCAAGAATTGATGACGCACTTGTTTTTCTGTCTTTCAACTTCTTTTCGTTTTATGTTTTCTTCCTGCTCTTTCTTTCGTTTTTCCTTTAGTACTCTGAAGTATGAAAAAAATGAATCACAGGAAAGAATGAGTCTATATGAATCACAGATTAAATGAGCTATAGTCCTAAAGAGATCGATACACGTGTATCAAACGATGAGTCATTAGCTAGAAACGGAAGTCTACATCTATGAAATTCAACATCTATAAAAAGCAATAAACTGTCATAAAAATTGTGTTGCTAGAAGGGATTCTGGTAATATTCACGGATATTTTTTCAAAAAATTCAAAATATATTGATTCATCTTATCATATACTTTCATACACTTTTTCAAAAATAAATTTTTAGTTCTTCATTATATAAGTACAAGAGTCAAAAGCCCCACCAAGCAAAGAAACTTCTAATTTCACGAAAAATACTTGACGTGACCTGAATTTCAACTAAGAACTTACTTTCTTTCCCTTTTCCTTGTACGTAATTCCTCTTTCTCCTTTTCAGTTTTATGAACTAAGACAAGCATATAAGATTTATATTGACTGGCAATATGACAATGTTAATTTATTGCTGAAATGACAAAAGGAAGATACTTTTCAAAATCACTTAGATACGAAGGCTAAAAAGGCCGCCTTGCCAAGGCTAGTCTCTGATGACTGAACTATAAACATTAGAGATGGGGTAATCAAGTTATCAGCAAGGTCGTCCGAAGCATTTAAAAGTAAAGGGTAGGGGTCATTGGAAGGGCGGTACATAATGTGGAGGAAGGAACATCCAGAAAGGGGCAATTTAATGCACCTTCGACGTTCGGGGCACTTGTCTCTGATGTTCTCCAGTCCTGGTGTCACTGGTTATAAAGCAAAATTCACGGACCAATCAGCTGTGGCTTGAATAAAAGACAGAAGGAGTAGAGTTGTCAGTTCTATTTAGAATCCTATTCGTTAGATTAATGAGATTTGTTTAGATCGAGTGAATTGCCTACTAAACCTGAAATTTCTTATAAGCAATATTCCTCTAAAAAAGAGTGTATATTGATAAGCATTGTCTGATAAGCCTAGCTTCTTGGTGTCCTAACGACTACCTAAGAAGGCTGGGTAGAAACAAAGGAACAAAGGATGATGCATACCAAACTGGTGAAAAAGAACTTCTCCATCACAGATGCCTTCTTCAACCTTGACGAGCTGCAGAGTTAGTCTTGGCCCAAGCTGAGTATGAAGCATACATCAAGATTAGCAATCAGATATAAAGGAACCAATGATAATTAGTCTAGTTCTCAGTTGATTTGTGCTTAGGAAGGAAACATTATCCAATGCAAGCAATATTTTTTCAGATGTTAACTGGGAGATTGTGTTCATAAGGGGACGTTTTAAATCGTACCGTTACATTCTTAACATTGGGATGCTAGAAGTGATACGAAAAGCAGAAATGTGCGGATTTGTTTCGTTCCATTCACACGAGGGCAACGACTGATATTATCTCATTCAATCGGCTGACTTCTTGTAACGTCACATAGAAAATACTGATATGCGCATTAAAAAAATCCTTGTTTGATTTCAACCTAAAAAGTGGGGAAAGATTGAGCAGAAAAAATTGGGTACATAATTGTTCAGCACCCATGTGAACAGTTAAATTTTTTCGTTCCAAAATTTGGAATGCTGAAAGATACGCAACAGTTCCCGTGCGGGGGAGCCTCAGAACTTGAAATTTTTAAATCGAATTTTTAAAATCAAAAGCCAAGAGGAAATTCATGTCGAATTTGAAATCGAGACCCAAGTAGAAATAAAGTCGAACACTAGATTCGAAAATTAGCATTTAGATTATTCGCCTAGACTTACTCCATGAGCCTCTGTTTCGCTACTGCCTCACTTGACGGACTGCCTGTTGTAGCGTCAGTAAAGTGAGGCAGTAGCGAAACAGAGGCTCATGGAGTATTGTTCGCCTATTTTGCCGTGAGTTTGCATGGCATACGTGTCTTTTTTATTTAAATAAACTAAAAACTTAGAAACATCTAAGAAACATTGCAAGGCTCAGTAATCGAAATAAGTCAAGTGTCATCGAATAAAATCTCAAGCAGAACAGAATAAATCTCAAACAGAACAAGTAGAATCTGTCACAGTGTGACATGCAATGTAGTGTCTTCATTGTTTGATGAGAGCGTAAAGGCTGGTTTTCATATAACGTATTTCGACGTATTTCATCGCAATTCAGAGTCTACGGTCAGCTCAACAGGCAATTACATATTGAAATATTACCTCAGTTAACTTGATTGCACTCTGTGATGCTTTCACATTGCCTCTGCCATGAACATTTTGAGGCAGAACAACTTGGCTTTCGACAGGTTCTTCTCCTTCGCTTTCTGACATGTAACATGATCTGAAAAAGGCATTAAAGGTATAAGATTTAAAGAGCTGTGGGGTTATAAAATGAAAGGGGTAAACAACAATTGGCTTTGCCTCGTTATAAGGATGGGGGGGTCATGTTTTTTGCTTATATGTAGGAGAGAGGTTCCGTATTGGCTTCCTTTCGAATACTTTTGGCAGGGGACAGGGGGACAGTGGATTAATAACAAGCAACACTTTAGTGCAGTTGGTTTTGCGTTGTGGCCATTTCTGGAGTACCCTGGGTATCAGAGCCACAAAAATTCGAGGGCGGAAATATTTCTGTCAGGGCCTCAAGATGAACATATTTCTGTCAGGGCCTCAGCTGCGGCTAGTTTGAGACTTTCAAGTTGGTGACAAAATGTATAGCTCTTGAAGCCGTAATGAAAAGATAATTAGAGGAAGAAGGTATTTTTCGATGACAATTCTTGGTTGTCGTAATTATTGCCATTGCCTCTGATGATAGAGTGTGGGTTTTCGATACGATATTCATCGATTCCTGCCATGTAAGTGGAATATAGATGGAATAATTTTGGACTGTTTTTTTCTGCCAGTATATCATTTGAGGGAGGCAAACCGATGGGGAAGTTTTTCAATGAAAGCAAAAGAACATTGCATTTTGGTATTCCCCAAATTTGTCTAGTTTGAATGTCATAGAATAAATTTACTAGCTTGCCGATAGTTACAAGACATAAATCTCAGAATTTGAAACAATTGACTCAAGCTACATCTGGAGGCGCTCTGCCTTAATACCAACAGCTTCCGTAGAAGATGGTAGTATGCACATATTTATACATAATAACTATATGGTAAGATCAATAATTGTTTTGAAGCTTAAAATTAGACAATTACGTTGAACATAGAGAAATGAAGGAAAAACAGAGAACTGAAATGAAAAAGATGTTGGGAAAGAAAAGACGAAAAAAGGATATACAGAGATAAAAGAAATATAATTGAGTTATAGACGCAATGAAAAGATAGCTTTTATGAGATTTCTACACCCGTTTCATAGCAACAGAAAAGATCATGAAAATGGTTCTTTCGTTGCTGAGCAGAAAGGAACCTCTTGGTTGCACCTAAAATTACCACAAAAAACCTTGCAAATTAAACCTCCTGATATTAGCACGTGGAAGGAAGGTAGAATTCGGCAACGGTGATGCTGAACTCACCCAGTAACGAACTCACTAATGTCAGTGAGAGAGCCTAAATCTGGAATTCTATTCTTCATCAATTTCTTCACACCTCTTGACAACCCAACGGGAACTGCGTCGATATTGCTGCAAAATTGAAGGAAAAGGGCCACAGTTTAGGAGCTAGAGAAAATTATTTTTTCATTTCGCATAAAATGAAAAGGCAACCAGGAATACAAGAACTATGAGACACTGTTTAACGCAAACGAGACTGTAACTTTATGAGAATATATTCTTGTCTTGTTTTCAACAATTAACTGCTAGCCCAAAAGGCATGTCAAATAACGATGTAATCAAAAATAAAATTTTGAATTGATCGCAGTATTAGGTAAGCCGCTAACACAGAGAAAGACTCTGAATAAAAGTTGAATAAAAGCTGAATAAAAATGCAGAAGTAGATAACAATTATTTTACTCCAATGAGGCCCGATTCGCTGAGGTGAAATATATTTTTAAAATTTTTGGTTGTTCTCGTCAGATTTATTGACACTGAGCTGGTGAGAAAATCGAAATAAGCCACTCACTAATGCCGAAAATCGATTGTTTTGGTATCTTCATTGTAATTAAACAAGACGCATCTTCGAATTTCTGATAACTTCACCTGAAAAGGGAGTTTTAACATAACAAAAAACATTACAAAGAGCGACGTTCTTTTACATAGATATCTATCATGACGTACAACAAAAAAGAACAACGAAGAGCAGTTGATTGAATTATAATAGCTAGCAAATTATGCAGAAAACGTGCTAATAATAAATAGAGGGTAGTAGGCGGAAGACTTCACAGAACTCCAAAGGGAGAAAACAGATGCTCTTCTCTCAATCACAAAATAGACTTGGAGCAAGTCTAGTAATATCTGTTCTAGAGAAAACACGTCTCTTCCACAAAAACATAGCAAAAAGAGGAAGAAAACACTGTCAGTCTAACAGAGATCATCACAGCTGAAGGGACGAGTTTCTAAAGAAGTCATAGTTTCAATATGAGGACCCCGAAGAAAATTACAGTGTTGTTATTCTGATGATTAAGGCATATCAATTCGCAGACTAGGCCATTTTTTTAATTAAAGTTTAATCAGAAGAACTCATCTCATATTCAATTGAATGAAAATCGATTCACCAGCCATGTCGTTCCCCAGCAAACAAAAAAATGTATAGCTAAAACCTTCTCTTACTGATGCATCAGCTGATTATTGTCAATTAGACTGTGCATTATTTGTCTACAGCTTGTAACAAGATTTATTCAAAAGGATCACGGAGCTTTAAAGGATATAAATAAACCGGAACTTAAAGAGGGAGTTAGCTGAGGCCAGGATTTAGGGTGATGGAATGACGGGAAAAGCGAAAGGCAGAGAAGATAGAAGGAATATTGGGGAAAGGAGAAGAGGAGCAGTTAAAATGAGTTAAAAAAAGATGGTATAACGGCAGTAAAATGAGAAGTTTATTGCAACTTAATGATTTTAAAAGGAAGAAGATATAAATTGATGATCGAATGCTTTTCTAAAGACTATGACAAGATCAAGATCAACTTGTTGGTTTGCACAAAATTACTAGAAAGAGATTAACTAGTTTTGGCACACTTACCTTTCGAACATTGATAGATGGGAACATGTTCTGCAGCATTGTTGTCATAAGTTTCATCTCTGTGGTGTCGGCATTAAAGTGATTCAGAACAAGCTGGAAAAGTTAAAAAAACTCTTTTCGATGTCCTCTGATGTACTGTTCAGATAAAAGATGAGCGCTCTTTCTAGGACTGGTCACTTACTTTGAGAAACCAATAAATAATATTGAACAGCAGGATGTAGAAAGCTGAACTTACCAAAGGGGGGTAATTGTACTGCTTGCCAACAGTTTTTGGTTTCTTGACAATCGCTGCAACATCTTTCATAAGAGAGTACTGAAACAAAACCATCACGCACCAAATAAATTTCATATGTACATAAATTATAAACTGCTAAATTAATAATTATCCTTAATAAAATCTACCTAAAATAGAGCAACAAGTAGCGGATAATAACTCGACTTAGAATCATTTTTGATTAGAATTTGTTCCTAGTGCATTTCATACTTTTTGATTCAAATGTTATTCAAAAAAACACAATTGAATTTTTTAGTGACTGTTTAGGAGTTCGGCAAAAAGAAAAACTAGGTAATAAATTTCTTAAGGTTATAAATTTCCTTATGAGCCTTCTAGAAGTTATTTAAATTGCCACAAAATTATTTGATTCTAATGTCTATGATTACTTTTAAGCATTTTTCTCAGGCATGAATTTCTAAATTATTATTTTCTAAGAGATTTTTTCTAAATCTTTGGTAGAGATAAGTTTCCCCCTTTAGTATATGATTTCCATCACATCGATATATGCAAAGCAAGATTTTCCATAAAACAATCCCACATGAATCTGGCCCAAGGTAGTAAAGAAAAGGATGGGGGAGAGGTATTTTAAGCTAGTTTTAAAGAAAGTTCTAGGTAAGATGTTAAATCTTTATAACCTACTTCAGATTCCTACCTCCTTTGCCAAGTCAGTTTGGCATATAAACATGCGTAAGCATGTATGACATGATTTTGTTTACAAGTAGAACTTTAAAATTTTATGGACTCACCTCTTGTACTTGGAATGTCAAAGTTGGTCCTCTAGGCAACCTTGCAATTCTCTAAGACAAAAAAAATGCATTGGCAAAATGACACTCTAACAGTAAAGAGCTTATAACATAATAAACAGAGCTTCTTACAAAATAAACAAACTGAAACATCACCACAATGTCTTCTTTTGGTGGTACAAAACTTGTAAATGGCTTTGAAAAAAGCAAACATTTAGTAAACTAAAGCTTTTCGTCTAACACTCTTCAGAGTTTAAAACGTCAGAACATAGATCGAAAACTCTACGCTAAGAAATATATATACCCAGTTGTGGATCGAAATAGGCCAATCAGTATATATATTTCTTAGCGTAGAGTTTTCGATCTATGTTCTGACGTTTTAAACTCTGAAGAGTGTCAGACGAAATGCTTTAGTTTACTAAATGTTTGCTTTTTTCAAAGCCATTTACAAGTTTTGTACCACCAAAAGATTGTTTGCATATTTCAAGCAGAGGTACACAAATGAGGAGATTGAGGATCTCAACGCATTGGTTAAGCTTAAGGTAAGCGAGGTAAGCTGAGGTCGGCCAGGTTCTCTTTATCCTTTCTCAGTTTATATTTGACTAATCGGGTTGCACCTAAATTTATCACCGCTCGTATTTCTAAGTCTGGTGTTAGACACAGCACAACCATTGAGCGCGCTTTTCTACAAGATGAAATTCAGAAAACTAAAACTAATATTCTGAATCAAAAACGTTTATATACACGCCAATGGTCTAAAACGCGTCCGTTTCTCACATTCTTTGATAATTTTCGACTTTTCCGCTACTTTTCTGAAATTGACCAGCGGAAGCTAAAACAGACTACAGAAAAACATGATAGGAACATTGGCATGCTAGTTAGGAAACGTTTTGGCGGCTTGATGAGCGATTCAAAAAAACATATTTCTAATTTGTCGGATTATTCTCTCTCTGAAACCGAAACATTTGTCTTAGGTAATGGTCTTGAGTTTTGTATCCCACCACAACGAATAAACAGAGAGGAACTTTTTGCTGAATTCGAAATTTTACACGCTCAACTTGCCAAGCACGAGATTTCTAACCCTTTGGAGTTTAACAAATTACGAGCACGACTAAGCGATTTGGCGTACGCTTACAGCGGCTCTCCCATCGACCACTCAGATTTTCTTTTGCATAGAGAACATTTTCAAGCATTAAAATCTCTACGGTCTAATAATGACATCTTTATTACTAAGCCTAATAAAGGGTCAGGAGTGGTTATTTTGAACAAAAAGGATTACATCCAAAAAATGGAGAATATTCTCCTCGACAAAGAAAAGTTCGAAAAACTGGGTGACGTCGAAACACGGATAAAACGGCCAAGCTAGAGCGGAAACTTCAAAAACGCCTTTTGGAGCTGGTTAACTCAAAAGTGTTGACCAACGAAGTTTATGATAGGATAAGACCCACAGGTTCACAACGTCCACAAATGTATGGCCTCCCTAAAATACACAAGCCGAATGTCCCACTTAGACCCATTTTGTCTATGATTGGTTCAGCACAACACGAACTGGCTAAGTGGCTTTCTGAAGTTTTGGACCCTGTTCTTCAAAAATATTCAAAACATTGTATCAAGGACTCTTTTACGTTCGCTGAGTTCATGCAAAACTTGAACATCGAAAACGAAACATCTTTCATGTGTTCTTTTGACATTAGCAGTCTTTTCACTAATGTCCCTTTGAATGAGACCATCAAAATATGTGCCGACGCTTTGTACCGGAGCGAGCTTAATAGCCCACCATTCCCAGAGGAAGTATTCATTGAACTGATGGAAACTGCAACACGTTCAGTTGAATTCAGCTTTAACAATGAAATGTACCAACAAAAGGATGGTGTCGCTATGGGTAGCCCTCTGGGACCGGCCTTGGCCAATATCTTTGTTGGCTTTCATGAAGAGCGTTTGTTTGACTGCGACCAAAAGCCAGGTGTCTATTTTCGGTATGTGGATGACACATATACTATTTTTAAAACAGAGGCTGAGAGTGATATTTTCCTAAAACGCCTTAATGGTCTTCACACAGCCCTACATTTTACATTTGAAAAGGAAGAAAATAACTCCTTGCCATTTCTGGATGTTTTGGTTGAAAAATCTGACACTGGATTTCTCACCAGTGTAAACCGTAAACCCACATTTTCGGGGTTATACACTCGATGGAGCTCGTTTTGCCCAAAACAAAGAAAAATCAGCCTCATCAAAACGCTTACACATAGGGCACTGATGATTTGTTCCAAGTCTAAACTCGACTCGGAAATTGAAAAACTAACTAAGATTTTTCTGGAGAACGGTTATCCAGAAAATGTTATTTCAGTTTACATTAAGGAGAAGATAGGAAATTTCTCGGCTGACGTAAAATTTGGTCCTCAAAAGTGCCCGGTCTATCTAAAACTACCCTGGATCGGTAACAGCTCCCTACGTTTTGAAAGCCAAATAAAACAGGCCATAACAAATTGTTTCTTCGCGGTTAACCCACGTGTTGTTTACAGTACAAAAAAGGCCCTTCCGTCCATTCAAAAGGACTGCGTTCCTGCCACAAAAAAAAAGTTCTGTTGTGTATGAATTCACGTGCCAGTGTGATTCTGGCTACGTAGGACGCACCACCCAAAGATTGGAGGATAGGATAAAACAACACGTTCCATCTAATATTAGAAACAAAACACATCCCAAAAGAGAACAGCCACCTCGGTCTTGCAAATCCAAAATTACTAATAAGACCTGCGATTCTGCTATCGGGCAGCATTTGCTAGAAAACCCAGTTTGTGCAAAAAACTATAATGGCGACATGTTTCGGATTATTGGTAAAGCCCGATCGTCGTTCCACCTAGCAGTTTTAGAATCTATCTACATAAGCACGAAAAAACCGCTACTGTGTAGACAAAAGGAGTTCGTTTTCACCTTAGAACTCCATTGGTAACATTCTAATAGGCAAGCGGCACTGATAGGTCAACCTTTACAGTCATGTGCTCGTGTTTCTGATTGGTCTATTTCGATCCACAACTGGGTATATATATTTCTTAGCGTAGAGTTTTCGATCTATGTTCTGACGTTTTAAACTCTGAAGAGTGTCAGACGAAAAGCTTTAGTTTACTAAATGTTTGCTTTTCTCAAAGCCATTTACAATGTCTTCTATAATACTGGTAGGTTCCTCTAATATAAAGATTCTCCAAAATATTCCAGATTGCGTCGATTTTCTGCTTTTTGCGCAAGCATGAAACTTGGAGTAACAAAGAACATGTCTCCTTTTTGCCAATCTTCTACATTATGAATCTCCAATATATGAAGATATGTAACCTTTCTTAACACATAAAATCAAAGCAAGGCTTATTAATAAGAACCTCAGTCCAGGTTTCTTCCTGTGCCTAACGAATTGTGCCAGTGTAAGAAATTTTGTAAGACCAAGATACTTCATTTAGGTCACAAACATCTGAACTACTCAGGTTTAGAACTACCTAGCTGCAAAACTAGAAAATGAGGTTACCACATTGAGAAACTAAAAATAAATGAATACCAAATATAGATTTTGCCATTCATTAAGCAAAATTACGAAAACGTAAGCTTAACAAACATATGAAAAACATATAAACAGTTACTGAATGCTTAGGTTCTTATATGTGATGTTAAAATAATCACCCTTATATGACAAAAACTGAATCATCAGTTGTAATTATATGTTGTTTTATTGGCAGAGTTTATTTGAGGGAATCTAAAACAAGTAATATGATAAAAAAATATACAAGAAAGTGTGTTGACAGTAGAAGAAAAATTTTGCAAAGAAGGTGATATCAACACAAAAATTAAAATGATACTTACAAAGTTTGTTGAAGTTTCTGTCTTTGACAGGATGAGAAAATGCGAAACCCCAAGAGGTCCAGCAACATGAACAAAGTCTTTTAACACATTGTTCTTACGGACCTAGATAAAAAATTGAGTATTCCATTTAGAACCACCCTGTTCTGCACACCATAACAAGTACAACTTTTGTCTCTGCAGCATCAAGGACAATACAGAGTACTGTTAGACAGTAAAATTAATAATAACTCTAATTATATAATTTCTTTAATTAATGTTAAAAAAACCAGGGGAAGAAATAGCTTCTAATTGAATTTTAAAGAACACATTCAGACATAATCCCCTATAATTTCGGTTCATATCTGGTGCCTGCTGGAATCAAATGTTTAGTGAGCAAGACTAAAGGGTCAATGTCAAAGGCAAGCATGGTCCCAAAAAGTTTAGATTTTTCTCAATACCTTCAAGTTCAAAGCAGTGTAAGGCTCCATTACTCTCTTCATATCAGTTTCCAACTGCAAAACAGATTTACCAACATCACCTCTGTGCATCACAAATGACCTGGGCACTGAAGAGTCAATTTCCTCTACACTCCCTTGTGGCTGCTTCTTCTTCTAAAATAAAATATTTATTCAATTTAGAAATTAAAGGTAGATGGTATCGGTCAATGATAGTCAGGTTTACAACCTAGCATCATAGAACAGCAGTGTATCCTGTGAGAAAAACATCACATGAGTACAAGATTCAATTTGATATCACGAAGAACAGATTACAATTGATTTGAAAGGCAAAGGACAAATAAAACCGAGAAAAACAGCAGTTTTGTATTTGCTGATGTTAACTGCAATACATGTCTCAAAATCGATGACAAATACCACTATTTCGTGTCTTAGGAAGATCTGATACAAATTCTTTTCCTGCAAAATGCTGATAAGGTATGAAGTAATTTCTGATAGTGAACGACAGGTGTAACAATATTTATCTTTACTTTTTGTTGTTAATCTTAGTTGCCTTGTGTTGTTAACTTTTCGATCACAATGGAATATAGTGACAAGTTTCTGCTTTGTGTTGTTAGCAAAGGGGCAGATCATTTCAATAAATGTTAGAAATCCAAAATTGTTGCCCTTGAAGGTTTCATATAGTTTCTTTTCCATAAGTGTATATGCCTAGATCCTAACTTTTAAAAATCAATTTCTAATCTTAACCTTTTATCTAGTAAACAGCCTTTGGTCGAAAAATCTCAGTCTAGCAACAACATGAATTTTTTTCATGAACAGGAGCATAAGTTTTCGCCAGAGAATATATCTTTTCTGTATACAAATATTGTTCTCCAACAAAAGGAAGAAAAAACACTACTGCACATCCGTTATTCTATGGTGTTAAATTATACCTTGAAATTGCCAAATCAAAACTTTTCTGTTCAAAACAAAACTAGTAGCACAACCTCACAGCATTTCCCTAGCAACCCCGCTACGCATCCTCATGGATCCCTTAGCTATTTGCGTTGTCAGATGTATTTGTCAATTTTCTATTTGTCTGTTGCCCATTATGTTAAAATTGTTTTGAATACTTATGTGCATGCTATTGTATGGGATGTCCAGCATCTTGCTTTTCAAAAGTAGCATAATTTGCTTTGCACTCATGAGAAGATCTCAAGTGCTTGATGTTAGTTGATATCAATCAATGGCGAGCAGCCATAGGAATTGTCCATTCCTCCCTAGGTTGTTATAGAAAAGTTGTTAAAAGGATGAATCTCTTTACCCTAGTTTCTCTTGTACTGAAAATTTATTTGTTCTGCTGCGTCTTTATCATAATCTCCACACCACTGCTACCAATAACGATTAATTATCCAGGTTATTATGCAGTTCCCTTGTTACCCTTACCCGACCACTTCTTTCTTGCCTCTATTTAACTGTTATAGCAAAATTTAACTGTTATAGCAAAATTATGCTTTAACACTTTTAGAACTCATGAAGAGACTCCCCCTTATGTTTTGTGGCCTTTCCAGCACAAACGTAGAGTCATGAATCTGGTCTTTCTTGGTTATGGTCATTTCAATTTACTTTGTCTCATTTCTAATACACTTTGAATGCAAGGACTGTTTATAAATCAATCTTACTGAGTGGTGACATTGAGACAATTCTTTGTCCAGATTAGGCAACTCTCAGTTTCTGCTCTTGGAACCTTAATAGTATTTGTGCACACAACTTCATGCCGGTTTCCCTCATTGAAGCATACACCTCAGTTCATAATTATGACTTGATTGGCATTAATGAAATCCATCTTGATAGTACTGTTGATGAAAGTAAATTGACTCTTGATGGCTACTCCTTTCTCAAAAGCAGCCATCCACAAAACATAAAGAGAGGGGGTGTTGGGGTCTACTATAATGAATCATTTCCTGTTAAACAACAACATGACCTTCAAACTTTACCTGAATGCATTGTATGTGAATTTCAGCTCAACAGGAAAAAGTATTTCTTTACTGTACTGTATAGAAGCCCTAACAAAAGTCAAGAACAATTCCAAGCTATTACGGATGGCTTTGAGCAAATGATATCAAAGATGGCTGCTGAGAGTCCATACTGTGTGATTTTAACTTTTGCTGAAGAAGGCAAAATTTTTGAACCGCTTACATTGGATCTTGGTCTACATCAAATGATCTCTGAACCAACTCATTTTTTGGGCCAATCAAGTTCTTGTCAGACTTAATTTTTACTGACCAACCAAATTTATTTCTTGAGACCGGTGTTCACCCTACCCTACATGAACCATTTCACCATCAAATATTCCATGGCAAATTAGCTGTGAATAATCTAGGACTTCCAACCTATCAGGGGCGGCGGGCAGTGTTATTACCGTTATTACTATAATAACACTTTTTCCAAAGTCTTTATCAGTTTGGTGCATTCGTCTGCTAGACACAACCAATGACGTAGAAATAATATGGTATCTGTTCATCTCACCTCTATTCATCTGAAGGGGATGATAATTACCTGCTAGTCCTTAACCACAGGAAGCCTATTATGTTTTTCAATGGTATTTCAAATCGTTCAAAGCTAGTTCGAGGCTCCCGGTCTCATTATTACTTTCGCGTTTCTAATAACGGAAACAGCAAAGTCTTTGTCACGGGACTCACCGATGACGTAAAATTCAATTATTCTTGGTCCTTGAAATAAAGGAGCCTAGCAGCCCCGTTATTACTTCTGGGATTCTAATAACGCGGCCATTTACCTTTTGCCAGTGCTGTTTTATGATTTTGCTTGTAAGTTAGCTGTTTCAAAATGAATCGTGTTGTGAAAGATCAAGTGAATGACCATCGTCTGGGTGTTCAAAGTGTTATTATTTTGTATCTCTAATTATTTTGAAACAGGTGGAATTAACTCACTAGCAACGTCTCGAACTGAAAGACCGTGCCAGATATATCTTGTCATGTATTTTTCTATAATAAATTTTTAGCCTGCATCCTTTCAAATTTTATTTGTACATTTGTAAACTGTAGCTATTCAAAATGTTGCAAGTTGCTTATGTAAAGGCATTTGAAATGAATGATGAACTGAACTGAACCTTGAATGTGTTCAGAGGGCTTTCACGCAGCGGTTTCCGTTATTACAATCGCGATTCTAATAACGGGCCCACATGGTGGCTCAGGGGAAGGGGCCGCCAAATATTTTTCACGACTAATCACCACTCGAAAGCCCTTCAGACAGATGTTACAGCCCTCCAGTTTGTTTAAAAAGACCAACAGGAAATCAGGCTCTTCATAGATTTTTTTATATGCTAGCAAGGAAGTATCTGCATTTATCTTCTAGGAGATACAGCACTAAAATTGCCAATAAACTTAAAACTTTCAGCATTCGCTCAGATTCTTAGTTGCTTACAAAAATGTGTATATCGACTGATAATTTGCTTTTGATCCGACCAATTTATGTCTTTTTAGTGACTTTTTGTTTGTTGTTTGAGTCAATTGAAGACATGCATATTTCCCCAATGTATGGCTGGACCAAATTTTAGGGGGGGGGGGAGGTGTTGCAAAACCCCTATACCCCTCCAGCTGAGGAGGTTCAAAATTCCTTCATAAAGAAATTGTTAATTTTCTTTTTCATGCATCTTCCATACGTTTGAAAAAGTAATACCAAAAAAAATTTACTCCCAGCCGCCCCTGCAACCTATACTCGTAGGACTTGGTTTTACGATCATGCTACTGCAGTTAGAAGAAGCATCAAAATATTTTGTTGGCCTGAAACTCTGGATGAAGTCAGATGTCCTAATCAACAAGTCAGTATTTTAAATATTTTTCTCTGAACATTTTTAGCAACTCTATTCCAAACAATTTCATGAAAGTACTGCCTCGGCAGGCACCTTGGATAACAAAGGATATCAAAAACTTTATTCATAAAAAAAATTGAGCATACAAATGCTTTATTAGAAATGGTCAGCCACACGAGAGACTTGAAGGAATCCAACATAATGTTTCTCAAGGATGAAAAGTAATAGAGAGCACAAAGCATATTAAATATTTTATGAAAATTGGTCAAACTCTTTTGAAAGCTGATACTGGTCAAAAAACATATTGGTCACTAATAAACAAAGTTTTGAAAAAAGATTCCAGTAATACCACCCCATTTGGAAAATGACATTTTTGTCCTGGATTTTAAAACAAAGGCACAAAACTTTAATGATTACTTCAGTGTACTACTATCGATACATGCAGTGAAATTCCTAACATTGCTACAAGTAATGCCCATGCATTGGTCTAATCAGGTACCTCCATATACTCTGAAATACTTTAATAAGCAATATGTGACAATTGCTACTTTTGTTGATCATAATGACATATATTTTTTATCTGTTTTTCCTCATGATTGCAACCGTGATCCTGGAAGCAAGATTGCAAGAGGCGCTTACAAGAAGTGGACATACTGAAGTAAAGTCGTGAAAAATCCTGAAATGTCCCTTAGTGATTTCTGGCTGATGAGTTGCTTTTTTTATTAGTTTTATCCTCTTCAAGCAATTTCTCAAAATACAAAAGGGGCACACACAACCAACCCAATCTGAGTTTCAGGCTGGGGAGGTAGTGAAAACTCCTTATCTCCTCTTCTCTTATTTTTCCATTTTGTATATTACATTTTTGTTCGCATAATTATTGTTTAGTTTTTACCTTCTAGGCCTATGCCCTATAAAACACTGTTTTGTGAATATTCAATATTATAATGATAATAATCAACTTGGCTCCTAACGGAATACAAAGCACACATTTTGAAAGGCTGTAAATTATATATATCCTTGGTATACGTTGGTGACAGTCCTTTTAACAGCTTTATTATAAGAAAATGCACCAAGAGGGCGATGCCAATCTTACAAGTTACATTTTAGGCCAAAACGACAAAGATCAGTCTCTATGTCCAACAGACTGCGTAAGTACAAGAATTAGATGCTGATGGAGTTTATTCTTTTTCTGAACTACGTTGATATAATGCTTGAGATATTTATATAAGTATAATACCTTTTTCCCCTTTCCCATTTTCAAAAAGCGATAATTTTGAAACCACGTGCGGCAATAAAACTTTCAATTTTGATTTAGGCCAACAACAACAGTTCAAATCGAGGCCACACAGAATGTTGGCTGGAGGAAATAAATGGAGAAAGGATAGAACAGCACAAGCGGGGATCATTCCACCAGGGGCGCAAATGAGGGGGTGTGGGGGGGGGGGTGTCACACCCCCCCCAATAATTTCACTACCCGGTCCCAGTTAAAGGTTGATAGCAATAAAGTCGGTCCCGATCTGGCCCTCTGCTTAGTATTTCTATCTATCACACCCAAAGCTGGTCCCAATTCTGCTGGTACCATGCTGTATTGCAGTAAAGTAAGGCATATAGTGGGGCATTTTCTAGGAAGGGCTAATCACCGAAAAATGACAGGGGACAGAATCGGTCCAGTCCGGTCCCAACCAGCGCTGCTTTGGAAAAAAACTCTAGCTGCCACCGACAACAATAACTTTTTCGCCATATGTACAAGCTTTATCTTGTTTCCGTGGAAGAAACGCTTTAGGTATTTCAGAGACCTTCCTGTCATAAAATAAATGAAGGTTCAAGCAAAGGTAGTTGCTCTGTTGGTTAAATTAAATATTATATTCTTGTTGGCATTAAATCTAAAAATCCAAGCCCTCTTTAGGTAAAATTGTGCCTTATTTCCATTTCCCCCAAAGTTTCTCGAGCTGCAATTCACTATGAGCTCCAGATTTTTTTAACATTCAAAAGGCATGCTAAGATGGAAAGAGGGATCTAAATTGACAGCCAGTGCTGCTTGTTACCTAGCTTCAGAAGTAACTGACAACATGGTTTTTTTCAAGACCATGGCGAAATTGTGCCAGTTGTTTCTAACTGCTGTTCAATTTGTTTGCAAGAAAGAATTTTCAATAGGGTTAGGAGGACTGCTTTAGTTAAATTTGCTTAAAAAGTGCATTTTCCAGGGAACTGGAAGCATCAAAATTCGAAAATTTCCCCCTCCTTCGGCGGCACCCATGGTGCCGCCTCGGGTAGTGACTATATCCTTTACCCGTTCCGATATAGAGATTTGACAAAACTATTAGGAAAGTCCGTTATTATCATATAAAAATATATGTGGCGAATTATATACAGAGTTAAATTCACAAAATATATTGCAGAGGTTCGTGACAGCAACTATATAAATTCAGGCAATTATATTTCAATCAGGTAAATTTGTTATCCACCCCCCCCCTTCCCTCCTCAACAAGGCCTGCCTCGCGACGGCCCTGGAGAGCGGCCCCGACAATATCTATATCTCAAAAATCGGTCTGTCGTTTGCATTTGCGCCCCTGCATTCCACATTAATTTTGCTACCATAAAATTCATGTCAGCCAAAATTTTCATAAAGATAAAATGTAGATTGCTACAAATGTAATGAACCAAAATTCACAGGTAGAACAGCATCAACAAAAAATTTTCAACAAATTGTGGGGATCTCCCTGTTTTTGGCCAAATCTCCCTGTTTTTCTTATGAAAAAATTTGAAATCACCAGGTTGTGAAAATTTCAGGTTGACAGGTCTGAAGTCATTTCCATCTCATCTTTTAAAGAATAGTTTTAAAGCAGTTTCTTTATGATGAGGGTGAACAGTGCTGTGGTTTTATAATTTTTTATCTCATGCAGGGACTAGCTAGAGTGAGGTGTCAGGGTGTGTGACATTACTTGGAAAAAAATTCATTGCAAAACGAACAATTTTAGTCATTAATGGGACAATTTTGTTATGGCAAAAATAGGAACAGAGCACCCCCCCCCCCTCTCATCCTAGAGAACAAGTGCTAGCAACAGGCCTGGACTCATAGGTCGATTTTTAGATTATCATCGCATATTGCATAGGATTGGAAGCATTGCATAAATAGCAAACTTTGGTAATTTACCGATGGAAAGAGTTAAATTTTTGATAGTTGATTAAATTTTATATTTCAAATTGAATCATCCAGATTAATTTTATTGAGAAATGCAAACATAACTCCTTAAACTACAAGCAATGGGGCTGAATAGTGACACTGCTTATGGAAAAATTAAGTTCATATTCAATATTCAATATAACGTTCAACTGTCCAAACATGCCTTATTTATTGGTCAAACAAAACAATAAACACTGAAACAAAAATGGGTTACATTTGCCCAATTTGGCGTACATCAAAATTTAACTTAGAACCATTAGAGAAGGGATAGTGTGCCTTTAACCTTTATTTTTCTGATTTAATTTTTCATGCTCTATTTTCAAATTGACTGTTGCTGTTTCTAGGCTTGAAATTTGACCAAAACTATTTTTGACTTTAAGAAATGAGCAAAAGACCAGCAAAAGAAATGAGCAAACAAAATCATGCAACATAACTTTGCTATCACTGTGCAGAACCAATAAACTCTAAAGGGCAAAAGCTCAGAACAACAGATCAGTTTAAAATTTTTAATACATTCTCTAATTACGGTTCTCTAGCTCCTTTAGGTACTCTTTCCATCTGAGTTTTCTCCTTGCCTCTCTTTCTTTTTTTTTTCCATTGATCTTTTCCATAAGCGACAAAGCAACAGTTTCAAGGGTATCAAGTTTGTTGTTTTGCATTGGAACAGGACTTGTAACAGGGGATGTGTTGCCTAAAAAGTCAGCATCATCAATTGAAAAATTGAAGATAAAAAGTCCATGAAGGTGGTTATCAAACTGCACCAATTTCCTTCCGTGAACAATAATAGATGACAAGTCTTCACTAAACATAAAACAAACAGATACAGTTGAATCCAAGGAAACATCGCCTGGTAGTTGGAAATGGAAGACGGCAGAACGCTGCTCCAGATTGAAAATTGTAATATAATTTGGCTTTCTGGCAACAAAGAGCAGAAATTGGCAACCTGGAACTAATCCAGCAGAGATAATTTCATTTTGCTCCACCAATGACTTATCAATTAAAGGATGGATGTCAAAATCAGAACCGCTACAGTCCACTTCCTGGATTGTTCCAGAATGGTCTCCAATCAAGAGCCTCTCTGCATTTCTTGAAACAGAAGCAAATTCCATGAAAACAGGCTTGATGTTATCAAATTGAATGATTCTTGATGGTTCACCTGATGCTCTGTTCCACACAACTGTATTTCCATTCTTAATCATTAATGCAATAAGATCTGTTTCTTCATTTACACAGCTTCTGATAATTACATCTGCATTAGGATATACAACTTCAATTTGAAAATCACCATCCTTGCTGGACCTTGGGATCTTATATATCATAAAGTTATTCCTATTAGACCACCAAATCCCTAAAAACTCATGACAGCAACCTGCTACATCAGAACTGCTTGACTTCAGATCCTTATTGTTGATCCTCCTAAGGAAGTGAACTGTGGGAAAACCTTGGGCTTGCTGTAGATATGTATCAGAATTGCTGCTCAGTCCTAAATTTGACAGATCCCTATTCATCTGTTGCTTTAAGCTTTCAAAGAATGAAGAACTCAAGCAGTGCTTATTTCCACTGCCAATTTTTCCAGTCTCTATCATTTTTAGTGCTGATTGGAAGTTAGTACAAGGTGCTGCCTTTGGGAGATTCACTGTTGCAGACAATATCATGTGGCTTACGTGACTGGCAGATATTAAATTGGAAGATTTTTGAAGAAGACTGCTTCCGAAATCTTCATCTTCTCCTTCTTGATAAACTGTTCCTGAAATGTCTTTATAACTTTCATTAGCACCTGTTGTCAATTCTTCATTATTTTCTTTTCCAACATAGTCCTCTCGTTTACCAAGAATATTCTGGAAGTCATTTATCCACTGCTCTTTGGGTACTCGATAAACTTCCACAAAGTGCTCACTTGCATTCAGTTGTCTTACCAAACAAACTAGATTTGAATCACTGCAATATTGCCATTTAATTACTTTGGAAGATTCAATCTTGTTTTCATCAAGAGCCTGTATTGGAATAAATGTTTTGTTGTTGTAAACAAATGAAAAGCATTGCCCTAGGCAGTCAAATGCAAAAATTGCAATTACCGGAGAGACAGATGCAGGTGTGGAAATAGAAAGAGACTGCAGCAAATTGATTTCACTCTGCGTATCCAATCTTATTTGGGCCAAAGCAACTTTTGTCACACTACTCATTACCAATATGAATTTCCCTTTTGCCACAAAAATAAAGTTTTCAGTTGACGAAACATTGATAGCACCGTCCACATATCCGTGGTTGTGAGAGTCTACGAGCTGGACCTGTGGACTGGAATTTCCTTCGTTCAAAGCAGAACAGTCGAGAAGGGCAGGACTTTTAAAAATAGGAACAGGCTTTGCAGCCCGTTGAAGTTCACGTAATTCTTCGACCTTTTCAATTTGCTCTGATACATTGTCGTAAAGCTCTTGCAGTATCCGATCGATAAACCTGAAAGGTTGGGGCAGCTCGTCGAATTCAAATTCTGGATTGCCTATAAAATATTCATCCCTTTCCAGTTCGTCTTCACTGCAGTATGATGGCGAAGGTGGCTCATACCTTTTGAATTTCTTGCTTGTTGTTCTAGACATTATTGAAGTATTTAATTTGGGGAACGTGTATCCTTAGATTCTCTTTGAAAGCTTCTGCTTTCAGAAACTCTTTATGTTATGTTCGTTTGGCCTGGCCTTGACAACCGACGCTAAAAGTTGTTGTGGTTGTTATCCATAGTCTCAGAAAATTCTTATCCTGTGCCGCAGAGCTGCGTCAACGGTAGTCCAAAAACATAACAAAAAGAAATAAAACAAAAACAACTATAATCTGTATATCTTTGTTGTATTGCTAATTTGCATGGTGTTGACAGGTTTAGTGCAATGTAGCAAGTAAGGAACGCCGAAGCACTCCGAGATCAATATTGTTTAGTGAAATATTATCTTTCTGCAGTTTTCATGAGAATTTCATGACAGCAGCTAGCTAAATTTGCATTTCAATTTATGCCGATTAATTAAAAAAACGACTTTCAAGTGGTTTTTATTGTGAAAGTTAAGAAAAGCTCGAGAATTGGCTAATTGCTTTGTTTTCTAATACTTTTAAGGAAGCATATAATAAAATTAGAAACAGCTATTCTCTTTCAAGCTCTGTTTAGGTTTGGTAATTATTTTGTAATTCAATTCTAAAGATATTATAAATTTTTATCTTCAATCGTTTGGTAACCACATGTACCCACCGTTTTGCATGGATACTGAGTTATTACCAACAAATATAGTGAAAACTTCACGATTTTGTTATTGTACAGAACCTTGTGAACTGGAAAGATATCGCTTTTACAATGGTCTCTTCTTGTTATATCATTGGTTTTGTGTTGGAAACTACAAAATCTCATATGCTAAACAATTACGTTTGTGCAATTTTTAACATGGCTTTGGCAATACCAATCACCGTGTTAAACCTCGCCCTTATAATCGCCATTCTCAAATCAAATGCACGAAAAGAGCCGTCTCAGATGTTGGTACTAAATTTGGCTTTCACAGACTTTGGTGCTGGTATTTTTGGCATACCATCATTTTCCATTACTTTTTTATACCCTGGCATCGAAACAGATTCCTGCCATTTTACTCAGGCCAGTTTTTTTCTTGGACAAGTTCTCGGCATCGCGTCGTTGCTTTCGGTGACATTAATCGCAGTCGAGAGATACATCTACGTCTTCAAGCCGTTTGTGCATAACACAAGACTGACTTCGCAATTAACTGCTGCTACATTATGTTGTTTATGGCTAGTGTCCATTGCTCTAGCCGCTATCTTTTCATATATTACAAATGCCATTTCAAATGCAACAGCGGGAATTTTATTTTTTTCTGTATCAGGTATAATTATCTATAGTTATACTAAGATTTTGTTACAATCCCGGAGGGTTCGTCGACAGATACAAACAGAAGCAGCGAGATTCGAGCAGCAAAGAGTTACTGAAAAGGAGAAAAGCCTTCTTCTTGTCGGTGGATTCATAATCCTTTCGTTCTTCGTTTGTCACACTCTCATTTTTGCAAGGCCTATTCTTAAACTGTTTGGAGTTCAAAGTGGTGTATTTAACTACACCTTTTGCTGGGAATGGACCTTTGCGATAGCAAATTCACTCTGCAATCCCTTGATAACCTGCATTTTCAACCCCTCAAAGCGAAGGGAGGTGTTCAAAATACTGATATGTCGATGCAAACGCGAGAATTGACAACCCTGGAGAAAATCAATGTTCAGAAATAATAGCCGTACTCCCGGGGGGGGGGGAGGTAATCCCATTAAGGCCTGACAGGGTAGTCCAGTCCGTTTGAAGGTCTTACCAAATGGCTACAAAATGGCCCATTTTCGATAATAATTGAATTGTTCAGTTTATCTTGCAATCCCTTATAGATAATGAACAAGATTTTATCTTTCCTGAAACAACAACATTCGATTGGACCAAAAAATGACCAGGGAAGCACAAAGAAATTGATGCTACCAAGGAAATAATTTCGGTCTTTATGCTACCGTTTGAGGGTTTTTGTCAAAAAATTATACCATTTTTGAGGGCTTTTTTTCAAATTTTGGCGTTAGCCCTCTTTGACACTGACTGGACCCCTGTTTGGCTGTACTATCTAGTATCAAATGATTGTAATCTTGATGTAGTTTCGCTATTTATTCCTCCGTCGAATGATATTTCATTGTTCATGATTTTTCAGTTTATAGAGTTTACCTACATGCGATACAATGCTTGGAAATAAGGCTAAAAAATATCGTACTCATACAGTATTCTCCAATCAAACCCCCATTTTTTTCAATTTGGCATAAATGGCTTTATGGAGGCAGAAAAATTTGTTCTTGATTTATTTGACGTCTTTTACTAGTAGAACCTCTTTCCACTGCCAAATAACTCATTAGAATCAATCAAAAAGATAGGCGATATGCATGTTATGCTACTGTTAACTATGTTTATTTTAACCATGCCTCCTTGGGATAACTCACTAAATAGAACGTTTCATATTCTTCTTAACGGTTTTTGGTCATAAAATTGCTGTATTGGTGGTTTGTCATTACATGTACCCAAGTCTGTATCCAAAATGATTTTAATTTGCTGGTCTCCCTAGGGACTGTGTTTGGTGAAGGACACTAATTCTGTAGAAATTCCGTCAGTTTCTTTTTGAATGTATTTATTAATTTTGAGACTGAAAGTCAGTTACAATGATATCCATCATCCTTTAATCTATAATTCTCTATCAGAGCTTTTGCTCTAGTTTGTAGACACTGGAGATGCTGCAGCTTTATCTTTTATAGATTGTCCCATAGTTGTCACTGTGTCTCCGTTGACTCTCAAATATTGCCATACAGACCTGATCAATGTTAGAGTGTGGAAATAAATTTTAAAGTTTCTATAGGCAGTTTTAAGTTTAAATTTGAGCTTTTTTATATAACTCGTTCCAAATAAGCAAACAAGCAAATAAGCAAACAAGCAAGCCAGCAAGCAACCAAGTAAACAAGCAAGCAAGCAGGCGAGCAAGCAAGCAAGCAAGCAAGCAAGCAAACAAGCAAACAAGCAAGCAAGCAAGCAAGCAAGCAAGCAAGCAAGCAAGCAAGCAAGCAAGCAAGCAAGCAAGCAAGCAAGCAAGCAAGCAAGCAAGCAAGCAAGCAAGCAAGCAAGCAAGCAAGCAAGCAAGCAAGCAAGCAAGCAAGCAAGCAAGCAAGCAATCAAGCAAGCAAGCAAGCAAGCAAGCAAGCAAGCAAGCAAGCAAGCAAGCAAGCAAGCAAGCAAGCAAACAAGCAACGCAAAACAAGCAAGCAAGCAAGTAAACAAGCAAGCAAGCAGTCGAGCAAGCAAGCAAGCAAGCAAGCAAGCAAGCGAGCAAGCAAGCAAGCAAGTAAACAAGCAAGCAAGCAAGCAAGCAAGCAAGCAAGCAAGCAAGCGAGCAAGCAAGCAAGCAAGCAAGCAAGCAAGCAAACAAACAAGCAAGTAAGCAAACAAGCAAACATGCAAGCAAATAATATAGCAATCATACGAATCAAATAATGGTCTATATAAAAAATGAAACTATGACACTTTATCCGTGCAGTTGAAACAATTTACACAGACAGAGACCACAGGAAAACAATGCATAATAAATCTGTAATCGAGATTTGAAGCACCTTACGAACAACTGAAGAACAATTCCAGAAAGAAAGGTATTCTATTTTTTTTCCGAGTAATTTAATCATTTTTCTAGAGAGGAGATTAATTATATTTTCGGGAGTTTTTCAGAGGACTTGGTATAAGGCTTAAAATAAGCTTGTTTCAATAAACCATCTTGCGATGATGGAATGGTTTTTGTTTTCCAAAGCAACAAGCATTCATTATTGCTACTGCAGAAGTTTAGAGGGAATTGCATTAGATTAGCTCAATAGTTAAATAAATTAGCTCATTAGATAAATTTGATACAGTATATATGCAAAATAATAATCATATTGTCATTAACTGTCGGTTTTCTTAGAAATATTTTCTCCAGGTTTCCCGTTGCATTTTTCAAAGCAATTCATCTATGTTCTGGTAAACTGACACCAATTGATTAGGCATATCAAGAAAGTCTGGTAATTTAGGACATTTTGAGGTAATTAGCCTTGAAGCAAATATGTATTTAATGAAAACATAACAACAATTAGGCACAAAAAGCTAAATGTTTACAATCACATCACCTTGAATCTATGAAACTTTTACCGCTAAAACTAAACAAAAAATACAACTACTTTCAAATTTGCATTGTATTCATAGCTAAATACCCAAGAAAAACAAAATCTTATCTAATTTTACAGAAAAGGGCTCTTTACATGATTAAAGTAATTTAAGAATTTCAATGAATGGTCTTTTGATTTGCTTTTGACAACCTTTTACCCATTTAATAATTTAATGGACATATTTTTGCTTTGAAGCTATGTTTGATTTCGGTTTTTCTAATCAGTAAATTCTACATTCTTATTTGAATCAATAAATTTCAGTCTGTTTTGCATGGTTACTGCATCATTAGCAACAAATATATTTAAACATTCGATTTTTGGGAACATTTAGTCATTATTCAGAACTTAGTGAACTGGACAGGAATATTTTCTAAATCAGACCATGAACGACACAAATTCCTATATAATAAACAATTACACATGTGCCATTCTCAGTATGGCTCTGGCAATACCAACCACCTTGCTGAACCTCGCTCTTATCATCGCCATACTTAAGACAAATGCACGAAAAGAGCCGTCTCAGATGTTGGTACTAAATTTGGCATTCACAGACTTTGGTGCTGGTATTTTTGGCATTTCTTTTTTTGCATTTTACATTTTAAAACTAAGCAATCACCCAGATTTCTTTTACCTTTTTTACTCTATTATTTTTCTGACAAGAGTTATGATATTCGCATCGCTGCTTTCGGTAACATTAATCGCAGTCGAGAGATACATCTACGTCTTCAAGCCGTTTGTGCATAACACAAGACTGACATCGCAATCAACTGCTGTTACCTTATGTTGTTTATGGCTTGTGTCCCTTGCTATACTGGTTATCCATTCGTTTGTTGAAAATACTGTTGCATCAAATGCAATTGCGTCAATTTTATTTTTTTCTGTATCAGGTATAATTATCTATAGTTATACTAAGATTTTGTTACGATCCTGGAGCGTTCGTCGGCAAATACAAACAGAAGCAGCGAGATTCGAGCAGCAAAGAGTTACTGAAAAGGAGAGAAGCCTTCTTCTTGTCGGT